CCCATTTCCTCCATTCCAGTTCGTGACTACCCAAACGATAAACATCTGCGTTGTTCATCGTTTAGCAGCGCAGCACGAGGGCGCGGGTTCGACTGCCTGTCATAACCGTCACATATTAGGGCAAGAAAAATGGAAACAAATACCGTGTACTTAGATTTAGGTGTACGCATACAGAAACACAGCTCGTCGAAATTAATTCGAAGACCCTTATACGGCGTTCCACATAACCTTCCTGCGTTTTTAGTGCGTAGTTTAAATCATTGATGATTTTAAAGTTAAACGTTTAAAGCCGATTATGTGTAGGAACCTTTTTTTGTTGGCTGGTCGCGTTCGATAGTTCCTCCAGCGTGGTTGGCTGCCCTCTCTTCTTAGAAACCACCTACGAAGTATGATTTTTACTTTCATTTCAACACTGTTTGTGTCATTGGTGTTCTTGCTAATGGCTTCAACAACACATTGCCTTATGTCGCCAAGCAGGATCATGACTGCTAGCAGTGCCGGCGGCCCTAAAAGGGAAAAAAAAAACCTTGGAAGTTGGCCTCCTTTCGTCACATCCCATTACTTACCCGGGTGCAATTTTACCGCATTGCCGGGCAACGCGGTGTCGCTGCTGGTCCCCCAGGTTTTAATTAAAGCCTAGTGAAAGATGACTTTTCACTCACGTGAGGGGTGTGGGAGAACTTCTGGAATGTGGCTTCTCTGCCTATGTCGCTAATATATGCCCTTGCTGAGTCTTGCTGGAGCGCCGGGGCTGAAATCCTTCCTCTTTATTGCGTGCAGCCCTCTATATTTTCTATCCTCTCTTCTTCCTCTTTTTTTTCTGCGCTTGCCTTTGTTTTGTTTTTTCACACGTGACCGTGTTCGCCATTCTGTAGCGCGTCGTTACCAAACGGGATGTCGTGGCTGCGTGCAGTCGGATTGGATAAGCTTTTATTTGGTCCTCCAAAACACATATCACTGTGTTGCGGGCAGCTCCCACGTGGGTACTGAGATGCCAAGCTCCTCAGCCTCCTCGCGGGCTTGGTGGACAGCCCAGAGCTGATCTGCCAAGGATGAGCTGCGGATTGCCGCCTCCCATCTGGCAGAGGTGATGTTCGATGTATGAGCGAATTTGGTGCACTGCCAGAGCATGTGTTCTAATGAAGCTATTTCCCCACAATGTGGACAAAGATTACTTGGGTATAGGTCAGGGTACATGATGTGTAACATTTTCAAAGTAGGGTACATCCGCGTTTGCAAAAGCCCTAATGTAAGTGCTTGGGGCCGGGTTAGATTTTTGTGAGGTGGAGGGAAAATACTTCTAGACAGGTAGAAACGTTTAGTGAGCTCGTTATATGTTGTAAGAATTTCCCGGTTATCCCCTTCACCGGTAGAACGCATCCCCGGGGTGGCGCGGTTGGAGAGTTCTCGCGCCGCCTCGTGTGCTGCTTCATTGAGATTAGGAGGGGAATCGTGAATCGGGGCTTATTGACACCGGCTTCTCTCAAAGGTCGCGCGACAATGTTGGTCGCGAAGCGTCAAGTTGCAAACGGTCGAAAAGGCGTGCTCACTGCTATAGTTCTTTCACACGCGTGGCTCCAGTCTAGAAGCTTGTCAATTGATCGAACGTGCTTGGACATGGCGTCTGCTTATTAAGGTGGAGGCCTTAGATGCCTTTTAAAACGCGGAAATTGACCGTCGGTTTCAGCACCGTTGTCATCACCACTAGTGAAGTGAAAAATCGTCGTGCGGGGACATCTGTGATCACCAAAATTTGTAACATCAATGTGGTGCCACATAACATGACACCACATGATGCAGTCATCGCATGATATCGTCCCCTGTTCAAAGACTCACAGATCACGGATGCAGTACAAAGAACAGAACAGAAGGTTTTATTGTTCTAGATGAAGAAGAATACATGTGCATGATATACAGAAAGAGGTCCCATAGTCAGAGACTGCAAGGGGACCTCTTGTACAATGTAGAATTGAGAATGATTGTGATGTACATAGCAGGGAGACAGAGCTACAGTCAAATGCAATTGAAACAAATAAAGAAAGATTATACCCTTGTAATCTCATAGAAACAATTTAAAAGCAAGAATAACGCGCTAACTTCAATGACAAGTGATCTGCTAGGTGAAAGCAAGGTGAACTGCTAAAATCTTGCGATGCTTTCGATTCTGGAGGCAGTGTGGAACCTCGTTATGTGTAGAAAGCTTTTGGAGGCGGTAATTGGGAAGACCAATATTTCTATTGGAAAGAAAAAGCAGAAGGGGTGCATTCACTTTCGAGTCGTCTTAGTCGAATGCATGAATGACCTTTGGAGTTTCTTTACAACGTGATGGCGTGGCGGGTAGACTTGAATGGCCTAGTAATCGGTGCGGAGATGGTGAGTTGTATGCCTGCCTGTATGAACATCTGTTGCTTTGAATCGCTCTTTGGTCTCGAGTGGCAATTGGTTCCGCGACCTCAGTGTGGAGGAGTCGTTAGACTGGCTGGCGTTCCTTCTATAAGGGCACGGAGGACAGTCATACGGATGAGTGCAAACTGAAGCTATCGCGCAGCATCTTGCTTAGACTTGCTCTATAACGCATTTGTTGATCGTCCTGGCTTCGAGCATAGCGCGTAATTCACTGCCGAGCGACCGCTACCCAAAGACGAAACATTTGAACTGATAAGTTCGCCTCAATGGTACACTGTGTATGTTGCTTGGTTTCTGAACCGAATGTTACGGATTTGATCCCGGCCCCCGATGATCGCATTTTTCATGAAGGTGAAGCGCCAGAAGTACGTGTAGTATGAGATGTCAGTGGAGGTGAAGTAACACCAGATGGTCGACATTTCCGGAGACAATCACTACGTTTTTTTTTTTTTTTTTTTGGCCCGTAAGACACTAGATATCGCTATTATTTGCTCGCCGCTGAAATTTTGCTCCTCGCTACAACAGGCAGCCCATTCAATTAGCTGTGCCTTCCAGGTCACACCGCGGAAGAGCAAAGCCAGCAAACAGTTCGGGTGGTGGGATCTCCACCTGGTGCGAATCCCAGGGCAACCGGGCCAGATGGAGGCGTGCGCCTTCCGAGCGCGATTAATGGCCTGGCCGCGCTTGCTGCCAACCGGCCATATCGCCATGTTCTCAGTGGTCAGCAACACGCCTCTTTCACGCCCCGAAAGAGAAGATTTCTCGCTTCCTCGTTGTTGTTGTTTTTTGTTTCCTTTGTGTGTGTCCATTCTTGCGGGGTCTTGCCTCACGGGGACTTTGTGCTGATTAATTGCGCAGCGGCTCTTTGCCCGGCCGCCAAAAGCCGTAATGCACCCTGTTTTCTTGCGCCTTGTTGCTGCTCCGTTTCCTTCGGCATTTATCGCCCTGGCTCGCTCCGTTCATGATACCTCGCCGTTGAAACGTGACCGGTGTGTCGTTATTGTTCCGGGCCCGTTATTGCGATCGCGCCCCTGTATATGGCGCGTTTGCAATCACCGCTGCTGCCTTGGCGAGAATTTCAGTCGTTAAGTTGTTTTCGCCGCATGTGTAGTCAGCTTGCGGTGAAACTGAACAGCTGGTGCTTCTTAGGCGTTTTACGACCGTCATTGCTCCAATGATGTGCCGGCATTTCGCGGTGATATCTTTCCTTTGTTTTTTTTTTGTGCTCATGAACGAACATTATTTGTCTGCTGCGTGCATTGCTGTGGCATCTAAATAGCTTGAAGAATAGTTAGAGAGATGGATATTTTTTTATTATATATTGGTGCGTTTGTTGGTGTAGGTGCGTGTGTCCTACATGCTGTTTTATGTAGATCAGTCTTTCTTCCCTTGTAAAGAGAGACGATTCTGCGCTCATCTCACGTTGTGTACGTTTTGATTTTTTTATTCTATATATTTTGGTACCCACTAATACTAGCCAGTGTTGCGACCGGGGTTTGCAGACACCGGAGGTCCGGGATGAAGATGTAGAGGCAAGAGGAAGAAAGACTTGAAAAGAGGGTTTAATTACATTATGTACAACGCGAGCTCTCAAACGTGGCGCTCCTATACATGGCTCTCCTTTGAATGAGCCGGGTTGCTCATTATAAAGTGCATGCTCTCCCCAGATCCCTAGATCAGGGAACACGTGCAGATGGTTCTGTCCAATCACAGAACACACACAACTGGCGAGGAGAACGAGCATGCACGGCCAACGTTAACGTCCAATATTTAGGCGTGATCAATGCACTCCAAGGTGGCTCTTCCTCATCGTGTGTGTGCTACTGGTCGAGGGGTCCCAAGCTCATAACAGCATACATCAAAGGGTCCGCCGTACTGCTCGCTCAATTAGTGGGGTGATTCGCGGCCGACCACCGCGGTCTGGAAGATGCTGCACTTGTTGTCGTCTTCCGAACGGCTTACGGCGTCGTGGCGACACAACGCCTCTCCATCCGGGTAGGAGGGACAATACCTGGCGGGCAGCTGGCCGTTCGGGCTACTTGTTTGAGGATCAAAAGAGCGCCGCTCCCTCGTCAGCTCAGGCGCCAATCACAACACCAGGGATACCCGTGCCGTATTAATAATTACTGGGAGTTTGCATGCCAAAACAGCAATATAACTATGAAGCATACCTCATTAGGGTACTGCTGATTAAAATTTAGCCCACGTTGGGTGATTTAACATGCGCCTAAATTTAAGCACACAGGTGGTCTGTGCATTTCGCCCCTATTGAAATTGGGCTGCCGTAACTTGGAATCGAACCCGAGCTTTCGAGAGTAGCAGCGCGACACTTTAACGTGCTGGCCTACTCCGGCGGGCTCGCCGCCTGACTGCCGCTTTCTTGTTCAGTATTCGTGGAGTAGCTACGAATGTTCAGGTGTCCCTGCTTTGGGACTGGGACTAGCTTCAACTCGTCTTCCCAATGTGGTATTCCTAATGAATGTCCGAACTTTGCTTGTACTGATGTTACGCGGCCATGTTACGTGGTTTCATTTGGGATACGTGTGGTTGTATAGTGGATAACGTGTGCATTTTCGTTGTCTTTGTCTCTGCAGGAGGACCACGCCCAAATCGAAGCCGAAGTCAAGGACGATGTCAGTGCGGAGAGCCGGCGAGACTCGCACTCCCTGTGAGTAAATAAGCCAGCATGCAGCTTGGTACATTTTCTTCTGAAGTTTACCTAGTTCACTCGAGCTACGCTTGCACACTCGTCCCCATTAGGACGTCGATTGGGCTCATATAGGTATAGGTACCATCAAAGGGCTCGACGAGAATGCGGCTGCCCAACGAAGCAACGCTGATGACTCTAGCAGGTTCATCTCAGATGACCTTGAACGGGTCAAGTCGCGCATAATGGTGTTCTTGGGAAGACGTCAATTCGCACTCTCGTTTTAAGCGAACTTGTCTCGCGTCGACTCGTTATCTAGTTGCACACGCGATTTGTCGAGGTTCGTATGGTGTCTGTGGGCGAAGTACTCTATGCAGTTGCGGCTGGCGAATCCCTCGTTCTCTGATGACGTAACGCTTCGCTGCCTGCTCTGGACGGGGCTGGGCATGCCTGCTATCTCGGACACTGCAATTGGCGAGGGTCGTTGTCGTGGGAGGCTTTAACAATAATTAGTCTCTTGTAGGAAGGGTATAGGGGAGAGCAAGAATGTGAGAGTCGTACTCTTGCAGAGTTTCTATCCGAGAGCTCCAGCTGTGCTGTGTCCGTGGTCGCAATCGGGTTGGCTCATTACTGTCTCTACGTTCCCTGGAGAGCGGTCGGCTGCAGCAGCAGTGTTCATCCGATCGCAATTGGATTGCGGAATGCAGTCGAGAGGATTAGAGCCGCTCTGTTGGACGCTGAATACCAAGCGCTGCCTGTGTCCGGATTCGCTCGCGTCATTCGGAAACGACCTCTTTCACTTTGGCCTCCGTGTGGCGCAGTGCTTCCGAGAGAGGACTGAAGTAGTTCGCGGTTTTTGCCTACTTTTGCGTGATAGGCAAAGTCGCGCTCATGCTGCGACTCGCGCGCTGTGAGCTTGTTTCATTCTTTTTTTTCACAGTCTTGAAACCCATTGATTTATATCTTTAGTGAATAACAAAATGCGTTAACTATTGATAATGGCACAGGCTGTTCACGGGGACGTGAACCACGCAACGAGGAAATTCAAATACACAATAAACAGACAAACTTTGTTATGCTTGTGTTTTTCATTCATTTGATATTACTATTATCAGTTTGTGCAGTAAAGGTTGCATACTTTTGACTCATTTTACCGCTGCGACGGTTGACTGCCTCTTTCGCAGTTTGTAGCAACGTCTTCAATACTGGCAGCCGAAATGCAAAGCATCATTTTGTATGGTCTCAAAACCTCCAAGTTTTACAGTTAGACGAGAATGGTCTGCTATCAGACGTATTACATAGCCGATTGCACCATTGTATATGACGGCGAACACTGATTATCATAGATGTCTATCATTTTTTTTTCAAGTTATTCGTATTATCACGTTCCCAATATAGCGCGAGACCGGGCTAACTGAATAATTTTGTTCCTCTGCCGTCGAATGTTCCTCTTATCAAATTTATGTAATTGAACCGCATCAACTGCGCAAGACGTGATCGTCATATCTGATTGGGATCACGCTCGGATACACGTTTTAGAATGAGCGCAGCCGCCGTAGAGCTTTCCTGAATATGCAGAGAGGTGCAGATTCACCTGGCTTCAAAGCTTCGTGGCAGTAGTGAGACAGCATCGTGTTCTCGGTTGCATTTGCTGTGGCTGCTTCAGTGGGATTACGCGCAATGATGTTACTTCTCGTCTAAACATAGCATAGCTGAATTAAATGTTTAGGAGAAATGTATTCTCACAGACAGTGAACATCAATTACAATAATATGTAATATTAATATGTAATATGTAATATAGCTGAATATAATACGTATACAGAACAGAGTGCACGTAGTGGCTTTGCAAAGTCTCCATTGGCGCTGTCTCCACTTTCCCGTAGGCAGACGACCGTGCCGACTCAGGTACCGTGCCATGTATACTACCGTGCTGCTTCTGAAAGCGAAGCTAAAGCAGCCATGCAAGTTTTCGCTATGCAGCCTCTGTCGTAACGGACGTATTTACTATCGTCGTAGCCGCGTTGATCGATCCTCACGATGTAGCAGTCGCAGTGTTCTAATTCTTTTTTTTCCAAAACGCGTGCAAACTATATGCTTATCCTTGTTTCTACAGATGCAATACTCGATCGAAGTAAATTGAAATTCTGGTGTAGCGGGTATGAAATCTTCACACGTAACATTTTTCTCAATTGAAGACGAGCCGAATATATGGGCCGCGGTCGTCGCACGGATCGAGCACGTCACCACCCGGGACGTTATAGACCTACCTGCCTCCATATAGAAGTTTCATAAGGCTGTCGATTACCGCTAAGGTTCTCCACTGTACGCAATGACGGCATTTATGCGACGGCTGGGCAGCCCATGCGGTCGTCATTGCGGAACTCGACATCGTCGTTTCGCTACCGTCATATGCAGGCTCGTGTTATTACGAGGTCCGGCCGTTTTGACCAATAGAGGTGAATATATTGACACATATCGATGGGCGCATAAAGAGGATTAGGTGCGTCAATATATTGACTGTGGCCATGGTCTTGTTGAAGGCTTCGCATGCACCGTTTTCTTAGCGTTCCACCAAAATGTTGACTTATTATCATGCGTGGATCTATAGTGATACCAAACAACGCTGCGCCTCCGCTTAGAATATGTTATTGCATTCCGTGACATTGACGGATACGTCTTGTTGGCAGACGACGTCAAAGTTTTAAAGACCACTAGAACTGAGAAAATATTGAATCTCTCACCAGCATTTTATTGAATTTGATCGATCGAACGAGATATTGTTTCATCGCGTGACTATGAATGAAGAAAAAAGGAAAAAGGCAGCATTACCCAATTTGGCTTCACTAGCTTCTTTGATATTCTTATCGTGATTAGATACTCAAGAGCAGCTTTGATTCCCGCCGCGGTGGTCTAGTGACTAACTTACTCGGCTACTGACCTACAGGTGGCGACATCGAATCATGATTGGGGCTGCTGCATTTTCGATGGAGACAAAAATGCTGTAGGCCCGTGTGCTCAGATTTGTGTGCGCGTTAGAGAACCCCAGGTGGTAGAAATTGTCGAAGCCCTCCACTACGACGTCTCTCATAATCGTATAGTGGTATTGGGATGTTAAACCCGCATATCAATCAATCTTCGATAGCAGCTTTGATTGATATACGGGTTTTAACGTCCTAAAACCACCATATGATTATGAGAGACGCCGTAGTGGAGGGCTCCGGGAATTTGGACCACCTGTGGTTTTTTAACGTGCACACATATCTGAGCACACGGGCCTACAACAATTCCGCCTCCATCGGAAATGCAGCCGCCGCAGCCGAGATTTGATCCCGCGACCTGCGGTTCAGTAGCCGAGTAAGCCACTAGACCACCGCGGTGGGGCTCGACTGCAGCTTTGAATCACTGACTGAAGCTAGCGATCAGATCTTGTAATGCGATGCTTACATTCTATTTTATTTTTGTTGTTGTTTTTAATCTTTCTAAATGGGTAGGTGTTCTCAGGCGTTAGTTTTTTTTTTTTTACTCACCTCTTAACTTCTTCTGTAGTGTAAATGTTTGAAAAAAGCAGCAAACACCCAGCTCTATGGGGCTTCGTAGCGCGAAGAATGCATTCCTCGTTATGGCGTAACCGGCGCGACCCCAGCGTTTTAGCTCGAGTATTTCCTTCGTAAAGTCCGGTTATGCTTACATCAACAACCAGTTTTTCTGTTACGACGAATAGCACTGACGCATTTCGTAGGGCGCTTGCACAACCACACTAAACACATTTCTGTGTCGCGTGCACTTGATGTTGATGATGATGATGAGCCTTTAGCTTTGCTGGCACTCCCCACAAAGGGTGATCGGCCAAGAACCGGGCGGCGGGATCATCAAGTGAGTTAGTTATGAGTCAGGCATTCAGGTAGTCTCGTAGCTATAAATAATAATAACAATAGACTAACAAGGTAATCCTTTTGTTGCCATTATGTACGCACACACGGCAGAGTAAACCTCCCTGTGGCTATAACCTAATGTAATCCCTCCGAAGGATAAAATTACTTCCACGTTTATTTTTAAACCTGGCTTCTCAATTGGTTCGACCAGGTATCTTTTCCTTTGATAAGAATATCGTTGACAGGATAAAAAGAAATGATCTATTGATTCTGATGCCTTGCAAAAGAGACATAACGGAGATGCTGTGAGTCCAGCTTTACGTAGAGGTCGGGACATGACTCGAGGAATATTTCTCATCGTCCTTTAGCAACAAATGTCCTACACCCCTTACACTCCCCCCCCCCCCCCTCTTACACCTCACCTCCCCATTCACCGTTCACCCTTCAATTTAGACTAAGTTTGACCGCTTCCTTCACGTTAAATCCAGGTTTTTAATATCCTCTATCACCCGTCCATTCAGTTTTCGCGGATGCTTTCATGATGACAAACTTGCCCCCACAATCCGCTTATCATCCTTGTTCCTTGTGTCGCGAAACACTTGAGATTTAAAAAACAGTTGTCTGTAAACAGAGTGCTGACCATGAGGCATTGGCAAGATAAAGCATTAAATAAAATGGTGTCATTCCCTTCCATTTGGTGCGCAGCTATTCAGCGTGATAGCTGTTCATAAAGGCTTCTGACGGAAGCCTTGTGTCAACTTGAGCATTACCTAAACATGGAAAACGAGAAGAAAATAACCAACTATAAACATGTTAGATCAAAGCAACAGTTTCTTTCTTTTGCCTTTTAGACCTCTTGCGTCTATAATATATCCTAGCATTGATTTAGATTATGCTGATATTTTCCTGGTTTGTTTTTGTCTGTTAGAAACGCAGGCGCAGGGGTATCAAGGATTTAGGAGCCTATATTGATAGCGCTAATGCAAGGGCATGATCACTCTAATGGCTGCCGGCAAACGGCGTTGCTCGATACGGGCACTTTTTTTTTTTTGTTCGTCAACAGAACGATATGTTCAGCGGGATGTTTGTTTTCCTTTTAAATTAAGCCCCACACCCTCCCCTTCAACCAACGGTGTGGACGAATAGC